TATATATATTATTATTATATATATATATATATATATATATATATATATATATATATATACAACACCGACACATATATAATATATATACACATAAATACATATATATATATATATATATATATGAGTAGTATCAAAATGAATCTTGCAAACGAAACAATTGATGACACTGCTTTTTTTAGCCTTGAACCTTTGGTCGCGATCATCCACTGAGCTATGCTTGGAGTTTGTAGTAGTTCATTCGCGAGGTTCTCTCCTACTGTATGAATGCAAATATGGCCGTGCAGACAGGTTGTAAGCTAAGCATCTGTATTCACCACTAACTGTAATCCGAGTATTTGATCTCTACTGATTGTAAATCAAGCACAGCAGTTACAGATTAAATTTGAATCGACACATGCGAGTTCCCACTGATTGTAGACTAAGCAGGGGTTTAGGGATTGTGCCGGAACTGCACGGACCTTAAATGCTTGAGAAAGTACATAATAGCCCAAAGGAGTATGCATGTATGGTGCGCCGATAGATTGCATATTACTTAATGATTGACAATATCTATCAGATAGCCAGAGGCCATGGTCATATGGTTCACAACGCACGAGTAAGATCATAAATACATCCGCACACTACATGATTACCATGTACGGCTGTATTTGAAGCGAACAAGTGTTCAGATGCAGCTGTGACGAGTATTTCAATCGATGGAGGTGAATGTCTGCATCGTAGGGCGATGGCATGAAGTGAACGAGGGTGAAAGTTCTGCGAGTTATGGTACATTCATAGTGTATAAAATCGCCCACGGATTCTCTTCCTACTATTACTGATACTGTACCTGACTTCTGAGTAGCGACAAGGCCATATGCAACGTCCGTCACATAGCAGCAGCCCACAAAATGATACACAACTGGCTATTACCATAGACCCGACCACCCCTCGCCATGAACACGCATGCAACAGGCGTACTTAAATACTACTTCATGCACGCAACATGTGTACGTATATGATACTTCATGCATGCAACAATGTGCACTTATATACTACTTTATTTGTTTCATACTTGACTACTAAATCGGCAGGGTGCCATGACGCCGTACCGCTGGATTTCATTTGTGTGTACAACCACCGTCACTTTACTCCACAGTGAACTGGGGGGAGTCACACTATATCCGATATTTAACCAACCAACTTCAACTGTCGATCGTGTCTCGAATATTACTAAATTGTCTAATTATGGCTGGCAGGTGTTCTCTGACGCCGTGCCGCCGGAAAAAAAAAGTGGGTGCAAACGGCCCGGCCCATATTGCATGGGAACCGGGCCGAGGCGCACTGTATCCGGTATATACTTAACCAACTAAATTCAACTGTCGGTCGTGTCTCGGATATTCCTAAATTGTTCAGTTAGGGCTGGCAGGTGTGCACTGACGCCGTACCGCCGAAAAAATAATGGGTGCAAACGGCCCGGCCCCATATTGCATGGGAACCGGGCCGAGTCGCACTACATCCAACATAAAACTCAACTATCAGTTGTGCCCTGGGTATTCCTAATTATTCGTACTTCATCTGGTGAAGATCTTCTCTTCTAATATATCAAACTGCTTCGTACAATCTCCCCTAATTGTACGTATATATATATATATATATATATAAATATAATATAAATATAAAGAAATAAATGAGTTTTTTGCTCTTGCTCCTCCTGACAGATGTACAAGCGCCCAATAGACATAGCGTGAGAAACGTGTGCGCCTATGAGTAGGGAGTAACTATACTTCCATTTTGAACACGTATGTACTTGCGCGTCCTCAAGTGGTTCTCAGAACATTCATACGCAATCGTCTACCACCTGCATGACCAATGCGGCCTAGTGATAAAGCCCATCCCGATGCAAACTCACACAAGAAACGCATGGGAGAGGATGCCAGAGAGACATGCTCGTATGTCCCCTTATATATATATATATATATATATATATATATATATATATATACATATACATATACATACACACACAAACACACACACATATATATTTACATATACATACATACATACATATATATATATATATATATATACATATACATATACATATACATATACATATATATATATATGGGTACACCCAACCAGATCCACTGCACATGGCAGGCCATTTTAGCGTGGCACTCCACGAAGACCTCTGGAGATGTACAGCTGTCGAGACTTCTATGGCCTGGCCACCGATATTGTTTAACGTTAAACGTTTAAGCAGTCGCAGCCATTGTCACTGTCACCGCCGCGGTCTGCTTTTTTTTCAACTAACACACATACACACACACACACATACATACGTACGTATATACACTCTTTAGGTGCCTGTGCACGTACGCATATATCTAAGTGTGCCTGATTAGCTATCGCCGGACTTGACACCCATCGCCGCTACCGCCAACAGCGGGGCGGAGCTCTGCACCTCCAAATCAGGTGACTGGACCACAGTGGGCTCCCGAAGGGCAAGACTCTCCTTCTTAGCACGTATAATGGAACGCTGGTATAAGGCAAAGCCAACCAGAGACACACAGTAGGACGCCCATTGGAGCCCAGACACGTGGTTGCCGAACATCAGCATGCCACAGAGGATCATCACGATGCTCTTGATTTGGCCCAAAACCTGGGGAGAAACGAGTGCGCGAGGGTAGCGGTGGACGATATAATGGTTTAGTATATACGTGTACACAGTAAATCGATACACCTAATAAAACGGTGAACGGTGAAGAGTATATATATAAATATATCTATATATCTATATATAAATATCAAAATATATATATAAATACATATGATGTAAAACAAACATGATACTAATACTAACGACGCGGGTGAAAGCTGATAGTGCTGGTAATACAATAGATTAAATAGCATCCGTTCTACCACTCGTATTCCTGGTTGGTACAGAATAGCTGCGACTTGCTTACCCAGCCAATACATCACATACATACTACACACCAACACAGGAATAAACTATCCCGCACAGTACATGCACTCTGAATAAGCGGATACGCATCAGCTGCACCGTAGACCCGACTATGGAAGACAGTCTCAATACTATAAGACCCTGCCTAGCTGCCCAACGTGCCGGCCCTGGCTATCACACCTCTGGACACCCGAGTGGCTGAAACACTACCCACACTCAGCGTAGTACCGAACTGTCTTCTAATTCAACCACCCACACCAGACCGCACTGCGACATGTAGCTGACCACTACACACCTTGAAAGTCAGCGAGTTGGCCCTGTCCACCACACACATGAACAGCAGATTAACACCAAAGCCTGAACACGCCACGACAAACAGGTAGAAGATCAGATAGGGCTCCTGATGGGAGAAAGAGGTGGAGGGACGTATGGTTATGGGTGGTGGAATAGGTATGGAGCAGATGATGAGAGAGACGGATCACGTCAGAAGGCCAAACATATGCAGTGGACTGATATACTCAATCATGTGATACGAGTGAGAGGGGTTATGCCGTACACATGGATTAGAAATTTATTTAACTCGTGACATAGGCTGTAATGATAGGCGCTTTTCCAGATCTTAAAAGGCACCCCGCTTGGTCACTGGTTCTCTACGCACACAGCAAGACGCTCTCCATGCATACTTCTATCACATTCATCTGCAGAAGTACTAGAAGACAACCCTAAAACCCTACAACATACGACGCACGCGCACACGCCCACTCAGGATATATGTGTTCGTACGTATGTTTGCAAAACACGTTACTCGAGGCCATTAGGGTGTACATACAAACTCTAGGAAAAAAACTTACCCGGCAGCCCATCTGTTTATATGAAGCATGACTTACACAATGCATATACATCCAATTAAACAACTACGCTACAACGAAAAAGCCCATAAAAAACCAACTACACAACGAAAAAACTCATCAAATAAACCAACTACACAACAAACAAATTCATCCAACACCCAATCTGTTTATATAAGCATGACTTACATGATGAGTATCCGCGTGCATGAGCTTAGGCGCCTCTTTATAACTCCAGATAGCCAGCAACCCACACACCGTTGCCGGTGCGATGTGGTAAATAGCGTCGATGATATTCTCAAACTTCTTTCTCAGCAGTCGCTCGGTCAAGACTATCTTCAGCACATCACACACCTGCGATAACATCATCAGCGCAAAGCCAAACCACTGGAAACGCACTTCGCCGAAACTGGCCATGATGCCAGCCAGCGAAATGATGACAATGGACAGGCACAGGTCAGGGCGTGCACGCAGCATGCCGAAGCAGAACATCAACAGCATTGTGATCACCTGCGGGTCAGGGTGCAAGGGTAGATAGGGATAAGGTGGGTGGCAGTGGTTGAGCTTGTGCGGGTGTGTGTGTGTGGGTGGATGTATTTGGTAGAATTGTGTGATCACCTGCGGGTCAGGGTGCAAGGGTAGATAGGGATAAGGTGGGTCGCAGAGGTTCAGCTTGTGCGGGTGAGTGTGTTTGGGTGGATGTATTTGGTAGGATTGTGTGATCAGATATTGGCTTCGGCGGGTGTGTTTGGGTGGGTGTATGTGTTAGGATTGTGAAAACCTACAGTTTAGGATGAAACAGGTAACAGAACTTGAGCTTGTGCGGATGCGTTTGTGCGTGTGTTTTAGTTAGGTTCTTGACTACCTACAGGTTATGATAGGACGGTTTAACCGAGCTTGAGTGCACACACACACACACACATATATATATATATATATATATATATATATAACGACTGCTAGAACCCCAAACCCCACTATGAGCACATACCGGTGATACGCCCTTCAGCATCTGCACGAAACTGACAGAGAGATACACGTACACGGCACCCCCGGCCGCCAAAGTGATGGCTGTGACCACACCAATGGGTAGCACGTGCACCACATACTCTCGCAGATCCCCTCTGGTCTGTGTGTGACCCACAAACTTGGCCTTGACCAGTACGACAGCGCACACAAAGCCGAAGATTTGCTGAATCAGCGAGATGGTTACGGGGAACTTGAAGTTCTGCGGGTGCGGCAATCGGTACGAGAAGGATTAGTCGGCAGTACAAACGTATATAAACGTATATAAACGCTAACAAACGTGCGAGGATTCTCAGCAGAGAGAGAGAGAGTGTGTGTGTGTATGTGCCAGACTGAGAAGAGGATATGAAACTCAGAAACACCAAACACCCCAAAATAAAACATCTGTTGAATCACCCTGTCTATCAGAATCATCAGCGCGGAATTCAAAGTTGTGAGAGCCAGAGCCACAGTGTGGGAGTGGGGCATATGCAAAACAATAGTACCGATAGCACGTTATAACTGTTCAAAGTGTCATTCATTGGTGTTTTTGGGTTTCAAAATCCGGTTTAATCGGTTGACTGTGAATATATTACGATTTACTCAACGCAGAACAATGCCACGTCGGTAGGAAATGCCATAGAAAGCCCTGGGCGTGACATTGAACTTGCAATATCAAGCATACGCTAGTACCTATGAATTACCAAACGTATATGCAAGAATCCATACAGAATCTCTACTAAATCACGCAAAAACACAAACAAACACACACACACATATATATATCTTATGAATTACCAAATGTATATGCAAGAATCCATACAGAAACTATACCAAATCACGCACAAAAACAAACACAAACACATACACACATATATATATATCTTATGAATTACCAAACGTATATGCAAGAATCCATACAGAAACAATACCAAATAACGCACAAACACAAACACGCACATATATATATATATATATATCTTATGCATTACCAAATGTATATGAAAAAATCCATACAGAAACTATCACACACACACACACATATATATATATATATATAAAAATATAGTTTACACATATACATATACTTATACACATACACCTAAACACACGCACACACACATACACGTGTACACACACACATATATATATATGTATACATACATACATACATATATATATATATATATTCATATACATATATATACACAAAATAAGAACATCTATATGGGATGAAACTGATATGACGAGAGAATATATAGTATACATATAGTAGTATAGTATATATATATATATATATATACTATATATATACTACTACTACACACACACACACACACANACACACACACACACAC